TAATACATGTTTGTGGACAGGGTTTTCAATTCCATTATATTTAAAAATATTTTACTTTTCCCTTGATAGAAGTTAGTTGAGGGAAGCAGAGATTTTTAAAGCAAGGGATATTTAAAAATAATTTCACAGAATTAGTCATTGTTTTGTCCTGATAAATTGAATGTGAAGATTTACATTTAAAAATATATTCATAAACTGTTGATGTCAAACTTTCAATTAGAGCAGTATTAACAGCTAAAAAAATTACATTTGGTATAATATAAAACAAGTTCTTACAGGGTTGTATAAAGTAAACATTTGCTAAAATATTAAAAATGGACATATCCATAGGATATAAAATATGGAAAAGGCTCTTAAAATGAATAATAAAATTAAAGTGAAAATATTACATTGCATGTACTGTCTACATAGATGGCTTGAAAATTTTATATACTAAGAATTCAAAATCAGACTCATTTTATCAAGCAAAAATTATATTTTTTAGATCATTATACATTAGAACAGTTAAAGGTGTTTTAGAAAATTTCTATTTACCTATTTAGACTTAATAGCAAAATTTCCGACCATTTTGGGTCACATGTAAAGTGCCTGATTTATATAGGTTCAAAAAGTATTTGCAGAACTATGTGCTTAGGTCTTCAAGGTCTTTAAGAAATGGTATCTGGTATGAAGAAGCATATGTTATTAGAAAGACTACACATAAGCAACAGTTAAATAAAAATATAAGATGGCATGTGATTATGCTAAAAGGAATGGTACTAAAAGTAAGTGCATTAGGATTTCAGAGAATTTAGGCAAGACACAGAATCTCTCATTGCTCCCAAGACACTCTCTTAAATTGCCCGGCTGCACTGGGGAGAGAGTTTTCTTATGCTGTATTTCCTTCGGTGATGAAATGGCAGGTTCAAACAAAGAAACAAAAAAGATTTATTGTGGGGAAGGCTATCCTGAATGATGTGAAACTTGAATCATTTCATGTTTTGCAAATAAAATAGACAGTGTTCTTTTTGTGGCATTCAGCATGTTTCTTCACTTCTACTTCTTCCAAATACTTTTATGTGATAGCAGATACCTTGGGTGAAAACTAACATTTATGATCAAAGTAGTAAAACTAAGAAACAAGTACAATATTAGGAATTCCCTTTCATAAAATCAAATTTTTTTTAACCAAAAATGTGTAATTTTTTTTTGCATATCTATAGTCTGTTACAATTACAATTATTTGGTATATTATCAATTTCACTTTAATGAAATTTTGTTGTCTGGCCATACTAGGGCTGTAGTCACTTATGGGCATTTGAGGATACAGCCTCCTCTACTTCTTTACTTTCTCCCAGAGTAGAATGTAAGCTTCTTTAGGGCAGCAACTGGTTTTGTTTTGTTTTGTTTTGTTTTTAAAATTTTTGTATTCTAGCTTAGAACCTAGCTTAGTGCTTTGTGCACAGTAGATACTTAATACTTTTTAAATTTAATTTAATTATGAGGTAGTGAAGAACTACAGCAATAGTCTGAGAACTAACTGATTTTGTGTTGCTTTGAGTTTAGAACATTATAAGGACACTTGGACCTACAGATCAAGTTACTAGTGCTGAATTTACTACTTATTAGCTATGTGAGCATACCATATAAGTTAACATCTCAAGGAGGAGTATAAGTTTCATTTAAAATGATGGAATGAAATTGATTTTTCTGAGACTTCCTCCAGGTCACATGTATTGCATTTTTCAACATTTCCACTAGTGTTCTTTTATCCCCTATGATGACCTGGCTGTATTGGCCATCGGCTGCAGGCCAACCAGTCATGATAGAACAATTAAGTAAAATTGTTGCTTGGAGTAATGTGGATTGACACCTCAGTCAAACCAGTGACATTGGTGGAGAAGGAGGGCTCTCCCTCAGAGACATAGACTTGCGGTGATTATATTCCTAGATATAGAACAAAGGAAACTTGTGTCCCAGTCCAGCTGCTTTTAGAGCAGTAACATTCTTTTCCAAAGAGAGGGAGATTTTGCTTTATCACTTATAACTTTAAAAGGCTTTTTGGAGCAATAAGCATGTATCTTCCCACTTTATAGACAAGAAAGGTGAAGGGTCATAGACTTGCCTAATATTTTACAGGGCTACAAATCAAAGGCAGGAAAAAAGAGAAAGTTTTAATTCCCAGAAGGGAGCCCCTGACTTAACTCTTGGTTATAGCAAGTTAATGACTGACAGGATGAAGCAGAACATCCTAATGCCTCATTTTCTCCTTCCCAAATTGTTACATACCACTTCATTTTGTGATGATCAGTTGACATTTTTAGTTAAAGTATTATGGTATTCATATTTTATTTTAAAATACCCATTTTTCTTTAATATGTGATTATATATTTTTCTGTGTTTTTATAAAGTTTGAAGGCCAAAATTTCTTGAGCATGAACATATCTCTGATGCTAGAAATTGGTGGGAAGGTAGGATTGATTTAACAGAAACTTACCTCAGATCTTTTAAGGATCTCATAATGAATAACTACTTTGCTACCTAAATCTGTTTTGAGATCTGCTTTTATTGAATGTTTCTTAACTATACCCTGATTCTTAAACTTTTAAACACATTTATATTGCTAAGCTGTAAATATGATCTTTGATTTATTATATTTGAACTTGATGATTTCCTTAGAAATTCCCTTGTGAAAAATTTACTTAGTCATAAAAATATCAGTTGAATCTAATTTAAGGTCTCTTTTTAGTATATCCTATCAGGAGATTTTGAAGAGTTATTCTAAAAATATTTGTAGAGAGTTTAAAATGTGACATGAATCTTATAACAAACTCAAAGACACAGCTTTCAGTAATAGTAACATTGTACTTCCTGTGTGCAAAGTCTTGGACTGGATACTTTTCTCCTTGTAGGTTGCATTTTTTGATTCAAACATTTCGATAACTTAAATATCCTACTCTTTATTCTATCACTTACAAAAGGGTATTGTCTTGCTACATGCCTTAATTATGTAAATGTATTTTTGGGTTTTAAATTTAGTGTGTATGTACCATTAATAAATAGCATAGGGATAGGGATCAGACCTATGATTTCATTGTTATACGGCAGTGGTGTCAAACTCAAATAGAAACAAGGGCCACTAAAACATTCATAAGGATCCTTGTGAGCTGCATATTGTCTTAAAAAACCACATATTGACATTTAAATATTTCCCAATTACTTTTAATCTGGCTCTGGCTGCTGACTGCAGGCCATGTGTTTGACACCTCTGACACAGGGAACCTCCTAGGTCAGGAAACAAACTCCCTTCACCATTGCAGGTCAGTACCTTCTCTGCAACTGAGAGCAATCTTTAGAGTTGCCCAGTGCACAGAAAGACTTTGAGAAACTTGTCTAACGTCACATAGCCAGGGCATCGTAGAGTCAGGACTCAAATCCAGGTTTTTGCAGTTTAGAGGACAACTTTATCCCTCATATCCCACCCTATTATTCATAATAGGTATAATGTATTAGCTAACAAATTAGACTTAGGTTACATATTTAGGTGAAGAGCATTAATTTCAAGTGGTTAAATTTCTGACAAATTATGTGTTTAAATGAAGGTCTTGTAGTGAGTAGAATAACAGAAGAACAGGTCAAACTTTCTACTCAACTTTTTATAGGTTAGTATTTGTGATTTTGAATTAAATATTTCTAAAAGTAGACATTTAAACATATATTTTCCTCCTTTTACTTAATATTGATGATGTCTGAGAAATTTTTAATAAATTACAGAAATTTGAAAAGATAATGATCATATAAGATTCTTTCCATCCATTATATTATTTTAGGCAGCGTTTAAAATGTTCACTAAATAGCCAAAATGTTATAAACTAATATTAATGTATAGTTCATAAATATATAATTATTAGAGTCAGCTAGGTGGCAAACTCTGGATCTGAATTTAGGAAGGATCTGAATTCACATCTAACCCCTTAACACTTAATAGATATGTAACCCTGGGTACGTCCCTTAACCTGTCTGCCTCAGACTCTTTAACTCTTTAATTATGGGGATAATAATAGCACCTGCTTTCCAGGATTGTCATGAGGATAAAATGAGACTTTGTAAAACAGTTTGTAAACCTTAAAGCCATGTACTAAATACTAGCTATTATCATTACAATTATAATTTTATTTTAAAAGTAATGATTTAAAGCTAAAATTACAATTTTTATAATAGTTCTTTCATTGTGTGTGTACATTTAAACACACGCACACAGTGGCCTCAGATATTGTCCATACCAATAATACCTAAAGTATGGTTAATAAGGAAGGTAAACTAGAAATTCCAAGGCAATTTTTATTTTAGGTATCAATGGTATGTAACCTATGACTAGAAAATAGTTCAGGAAATCCAGAAGAAACCACTTAGGTAAAAGGGTAGTATAGGCATAGATGGAATAGAACTGAGATTTAAAAAGTGAAAAAGTATGGTGGAGAATTTTGGTGTAAAGAAAATGGAGACAGAAACAAATGTGACTGTTCTTGAAGTGTACTAGGGACTAACAAAACAGAAGAAAAGTTGAGTTATTCAGGAAAGAGGTGGCAAGAAGGCATGATATGGTATTGATGGTGGAACTTTGATATTATGGATACTTGTTGCACCTTTCTGCTCACAGTTGCTAATAATTTCTTAATTTCCTTAATGAGAATTTTATCCTCCCCAAATTGGAAGAACCAGTGAGGGTTACTCATATTTCGAATCTGGTTTTCATCAGAAAGAAGTAACTTGTTCACGGGGTGGAAATGACAGGAAACTGGCAGAATTGATGAACTTCATCTTGGAATTTTTGGTGGAGAAAAAAGCCAGCTTTGTTATATGTGTACCTCAGATTTTAGGAGAGCAGATTTCTGAAGATTAAGAGAAAGGATAGGTAGGATGCACTGAATTCATATCATAAAAGAATTAATATCATAAAGCAATGAGTAACTAAATTACATGAAAACAATTCTGAAGAAAATAGGTTGTCCAAAATCTGATCATTGTAGATGTGTAGAGAATTTATTGCCCAATTTAGATTTTTTTTTTAAAGCTTCATATAAGAGAGTCAGAATAGCATTCAGAGTTGTAGATAGCTGTCCTTTGGTATTGTAAGATGTATTTGCCAAGTCATTGTTAGTGACATGTCTTTGAAAGTTAGTGAAAATAAGAGTACATGATACTGGAGTTAGCCAAATGATAAGAAAATAGGCCCAAATGAGAAAAGTGACCTGTCCAAGGTCACACAAGGTGACATTGTTTGGATTCAAAACCAGCTCCTCTGATTCTAATACAGCTCACTTTCCAAAGGTACCTTTTCATTTTTAAAAATTACAACTGAGAGTAAGTGTCAGTTAAGTGCTAATAAGTCTTTAGCATCAGCTAATCTTCCCTTGAACAAAGAGTACTTGCCCATGCCTTCTGGCATAAGCAGACTGAAAGGTAAGGAATAGAGCCATAGGTAGAGCCATAGGTAAGTACCATAAAACAGGGCTTCTGAAACTTTTTCCACTTGCAACCCCTTTAGTGCTTCTTAAATTTATCCAATTACATTGAAGTACTAAGCATCTAATAAGTATAAGACATTGTGGCTAGGTGGTAGGGGTGTAAAAAAAGAAGGCACAGTCTCTCTTAAGATTATGATCCAATAGAAATTGAGAGAGAATCAATCATGGACCTTGTCTTTGGGAAACCTCCACTTTTTAAACTGTGCTCAGGTACTTCAGATGTAGGCACACTCTATACCTGTCTGTTAAAGACAAGATGCGTCAGGGTATCTGTGATCTCATGAGTATTCTCATCCAGGTGGACCGTGCCCTCTTAGTACTCATCCACAGGAGGTCCACTCAATGTGCTGAGGGATCTTGCTTGAGTTTTCTTGACATTGCATGGACAGATACCAGTGGAACATAAGCTTATCCATCAGTCATCCTTGCCTTTCATTAATGTTATCAGACTTTTTTCCTCTCCAGTCACACCTCTGCTTTTCCTGTGCAATTCAAGAAAATGAAAAGTTTCTTATAAAAATCTCTACAATTTCCTTTTTTCATCTATTGATTGTCTTCTGTCTAGTTTCATCCTTGAATGCCCATAGGATGATATATATTGCTTAGTTTGATCTGTCACCAAGCTTTTTATAAACTAACTTTTCCAGTTATTGTTTCTTGCTATTTTATGAGGTGGTTCTCTTCATAATCTTCCATCATCTTAAAATCTGCAAACAAGTTTAAGAAACAAGAATCAATAGCTGTGTGATCCTGGGCAAGTCACTTAACCCTGAATGCCTCACAAAAAAGGAAGGAAGGAAGGAAGGATGGAAGGATGAGTGTTGCCCTTGGCTACCCTTTCTCCTCTCGAAGTGAAAGTATTTGGTCTACAGGGTCTCTGAAAAAATTTCCAACCCTGAATATTCTTTGATTCTTGACTATATAGCTGCATGTATGTGTGTTCTGTGTGTGTGTATATATTACATATATATAAATATATTGCCATATTTAATAATTTATTTCTGTATTGAGACAACAAGAATAGGAGTACGAAAGGTTATGTTATTACTGCTATAAAAAAGAGGTGGTAACATATGAAGACACTCACACTGCCCCCGATGCATCAGCTAGCTGGGCAGGAAACCGGTTTCTAGAGAAAGGCAGTTGCTGGTGTCCTGAGTTTTACTGCATTAAGATAGGGGAAAGGAAGGGGGAAGGAGTAAGTTCAAAGCCCTTGAAGGAAGGATAAGAGGGGGAAATCAGACCCCTCCTTCTCCCTCAACACACACATATACACATGAACTCTTGCAGAGCAATATAGACAAATATACATACATTGCTAATGTTGATTAGATGAGGCCTGGTTCTTTTAGGGTATCTATCTAATTAGGCAGCTAATGCTAGATTATCCTGGCCCACCTAAACCAATATGTGATAATGCTAGAGGCAGCAGCTGTTGAAACTAATACTGGAACTCTTGGAGTCAGTTATTATACAAAACAAGTGGGTATTCTCAGTAAAGAGGATTACGAGACTAATCAAACACTTTCATTTGATTTCAGTTTTGAAATTCTAGGAAGATAATTTTTTTAAAGTTAAAATGTCAAGTTGTTTACTCTTCATAGGTTTATGGTCCATTTTCAAGTGATGAAAGTTAATTAAAAATACTCATTACAAAATTGTTTGAATTATATTTTAAAAGGAAAGTAATCATTGCCAATGACAAATAAGAAAATCCTCAGGTATTAAATTCCTGTAACTTAATAGAAGCAACTGTAAATCTTGTTCATTAGATTAAAATTTAACATTATAGCTCTAGGGCTGAAAGGGACTTCAGAAGCCTTGAATGTTGCTTAGTAGCATGGAAGCTCCCTTACTTCTTAAAATCACCAAGTATTTGTTTATCAAGTACTTTACTATGTACTAGGCTCTATGATGGGCTCTGGAGATGGAAACTATCTTTAATTGTAAAGAGCTTAAAAACAAGTTTTGTATTCTGGCATCAATATGGATGGAGACTTTGGGAGGTGTTTGTATGTGGTTTTTTGGGGGTGGGGTTGTGGGGTGATAGTGTTAGTTTTGAGTGTATGTGTACATGTAACTATTCTCTTTGATTAGCCTCTCATTAAGGAAGTATTTGTTTAGTGTAGGTGCAGTGTTTTAACAATTAAAGTTCCTAATGTAGCACATATGGCATTATTTAGATTAGTTAAATAATTTATTAAGTGCTTACAGTGTACCAGGCACTTTGCCAGGCTCTAAAAATGCAAATACAAGCAAAAACGAAGACAGTCTCTGTCCTCAATAAGAACACGTAAAAGGGAACTATAAGAGGTGGTGGTGGGGTTGGGAGGGTATCCTGTGCAGGGGAAAATGAAAAAGTAGTCTGGAGAGTCAGGAGCAGATTTTAGTGAGGAGTACATATGGCTAGTGTGGCTATTTCTAAAATGGAGGTTCCAGGGAGGAACTCTCCGATCAGAGAAGGCAGAAGGGAGCAGAAGTGGAAAAGTAGAAAAAAATAGAGGTAATTTGTGACTATTTTGAAATGTGGAAGTATGTATTTCTCAAGTCTAAGTTTAAGACAGTTTCAGCACCAGAGGGAGGTTACTGTCTTAAAACCACTTTCTAAAAACGAGTAATAGTTTTCTCCTTGAGTATTTTCATACTCTCAAATACATACAAAATTGTTCTATTCTTTACTCTTCTCTCTCTAACCCCCAGAAGCTTGCCTCTATTTTCCCAATCTATCATCCACATATCTTCCAAATTGATATATCTAAAGCACAGGCCTGATCATGCCATTCAAAATGGAAAACATCTTCCCCACTTAGACCAAGGATACTATCTTTCAGGTTAGTAAACTAGGAATAATCCTTGGTTACATCACCTTCCCCATATCTAATCAGCTGCTGGGTCTTAATGATTCTACATCTATAATACTGCCTGTGTCAGTTCCCTCTCTTTTTGCTTACAAGGTCACTATCCTAATTCAGATTTTTATTGTGTCTCACCTGGACTGTTGCAGTATCTTTTTTTTTTTTTGGCTAGGCAATGGGGTTAAGTGACTTGCCCAGGGTCACACAGCTAGTAAGTGTCAAGCGTGAGGGTGAATTTGAACTGGCGTCCTCTTGACTCCAGGGCCAGTGCTCTATCCACTGCCACCTAGATGCCTTGTTGAAGTATCTTAAGTGGTCTTTCTATCTCCAGTCTCTCCCTTCTCTAACACAGTCTCTTCACAGCTGACAAATTATTCCTGAAAAATAGGTCTGACCATGTCATTTTGCTACTCAAAAACACTCAGTGACTTACTATTGCCACAAGGATAAATACAAATTCTTTATCTTGGAATTTATAGCTCTCCTTAATCTAGCACTCAATTTACTTTTTCTGTCACCACACTGCAGCTAAAATAGCATAGCAGCAGTTTTTCTGAACTTACTAAATGCCATATTCCATCTCTTTCTACCCTCCTTCATACCCCTCATTCAGTCACTGCATATCATTCAAGGTTCTTGACTGCCATGTTCTACATGAAACCTTTCTGGATCTTCTCCCCCTTTCTCCTCAGATGATCTAATATGTACTCACTCATGGACATGTTGCATCCCCCAGTAGACTAGAAGGTACTTGAAGTCAGGGACTCTGATTTTTTTCTTGTATCCTCTAGGCCTAGTGTAGTTCTTGAATATAGTAGCTAAATATAATTTAAATGGACACACTTAGAGTGACACTTAGATGATGTCTTTATCACCAGCAGCAAAATGTGGGGCATATTTTGATCTGATCTCAGACTTTAGCCTATGGAAACAAGAAGTTAAAATTAATTGTTCAGTCTCTTGAAATGTTTACTTCACAAGGTATCATTTCCTTCTAGCTTACTTTTTATGTCACTTGTATTGAAATGAAAGGATTATTTGACTTGTGTATCATGTAATAAGAAAATTTCTAATCTTATTTATCTTTTTTGTAAATTGGCTCCTATGAGAGGAAACATGGTACATACAATTAGTTTTAAAATTCCAATAATAGAAAATTTTAAATATGTTGTGTGAGATTTATTATGAGTCCTTGGAATATGAACACTTGCCACTTTGTAAGTATATGCAATACTTTGTTATGAATATCAGAATTTAGTTAAATATAAACCAATGGAAGGAATCGCAAGGAAATATAATAAATAGATAATTCTCTGAGGTCAGTTGGTTAATGTTAAAATCAATATAAAAGAGATATTAAGTAATATTGAAGAAAGGAAATTGTAGCTAATTGGCTCTTTAAATTCCAGTTTATTTTCAGATTTATAAAGTAAACATTCTCTTGATAATAAAATTCATTCTGAAATAATGACCTCCCAGTGATGATAATCTTAGTTATAATTCTAATAATGAATTCTTTGGTGGTGGTGGTGCTAATTTCTTTTGAATTAATGTCTTCCTGTTCTCTCTCTGCATTGTTACAACCAAAATCGCACCTTTATTTAATGGTGATGGGTATGTTTATGCTAAAAAAAATATATAAAAATCAAGCACTTAATCTAAATCAAGTAGTAATCATTTTATGTTCTTGCTGCAGAATACTAAGAGCACAAAGTTCTGTGATTTTTTTTCATAGCATTTATTCTGGCAGCTACAAGTAGGTCCTGAAAATGATTTATTTTCCTTTTGATGGGAATAAAAATTTAATTTTTTTAATGTATCAAGAAAATGAGCTTTTACTTGTGTTTTTGGAAGTATTTGAATTTTTCAAGTTCTTTATCTTCTTGAGTTTTAAGTGAAAAGATTTATCAAAGACTTATTCCTTGTAAAAAGAATTTAAGTACCTTAAGTTATTTTAAAATTGAAGATCTAATCATCTTATTTTTTTCATGGTAATTTTAATTAAAAAAATACTTTTGCCCCTTGAAGGAGTTAATTATAGGTATAAAACTAATCATGGAAAATACAAACACTACAATTAAAAATGGGGAATTTATAGAATTTTGTTCAGGTCTTGTTTGACTTTTGTCTAAGTTGTATATAAGGAACGGCTGAATACCTTTTCAGGCAAAATGTAGTTTTGTTTGAGGAGAAAAGTATAATTAATCTCAGTATACAGTGAATCAGATTTATTATTTATAAGACTGTCACTAAAATATTTGGAATCTTATAGAAACTTCAGTAAAGTTCTAAGGTTTTAGAAGCTTTCACTCTGAAAAACAGGAGGTAAAACTTGTATTTGGTAAATTACAAAGTTAATTACAGTTTTACCAGTATGATTTAAATTTCTTCTGCAGTAGAATAGGATACCTTCTTGGGATGTACCCACGTTAATTTATCACCATATTCCATTTGGCACTTGCATAATTTTTTTTTTGGTAGAAAAAACTTGAAAGCACACCTGTGAATCCCTCTTGACACATACTGTGTTTTCTCTCAGTACCCTCTGAACTCTAGGACATCACTACATTCAAGAGAATACATGGAAAATAAGAATAAATGAATAATGGCTTTTGTAAAGTGATTTAAGGTTTGCAAAGTGCTGTACATATGTTGTTGAATGGGTTACATCCTCCAGATTTATTTTAAGACTTCATTGAAGATAACTTTTTAAATTTCTGATTAAATTCTTAAGTATTTCTAGCTATGGCTAGACTGTAGATGTATAATATTGAGTGCTATATCTAGTTTTAGTACTGTCTGTCCCAGGCACTAATTTAGTTTGGAGTACTTTTTGAAAAATAAGGGCTATAAAAATGAACACCAAAATTAGACCCAAATCAGTGGCAGAATTAAGAATTATTTTTTCTAAGTCCAAATGGCATAATGCCATGATTGCTGCTATACTACAAATCATATAAAATATAATACTTCACATAGAATAGAGAACACTTTTAAATTTTTGTGTTTAAAAATGACTTTTCATAAAAGTTTGCATTAATGCTTGGTAAAGGGGAAATACACATACACATACACTGAGTCTACTAGTTTTGATAAACTCTTCTCCCGTCCATACAGATTTTGCTAAGCAATGTTAAGCAACTCTTAAAATAATCCAGTATTCTTGCTTAGATGGGAAAACTGTCCCTTCCCTTTTAAAAAACTGGTGAATGATATGTTGTCCTATTTTTTTTTAACAAGTGAAGCTCACTTATTCAATTTTTATTCCACGTGGCTATCCCAATAAATTATTTTTAGCAATGAAACAAACCGTTAAAGGAGTTGTGTTTTACAATGCAGAGAGTGGAGGATGCTTTTTATACATTGGTGAGAGAGATTCGGCAATACAGATTGAAAAAAATCACCAAAGAAGAAAAGACTCCTGGCTGTGTGAAAATTAAAAAATGCATTGTAATGTAATCTGGTAAGTTGAGCAAATTAAATTTTGGCAGAAAGCTGATGGTCTTTTAAAGGTAACACAATTTATAAACTCTTAAAACTGCTTATAGCAGTTATATATCAAAATATTTACAGGTTTATAGCATTCTAATTTGAAGTATAATATAAAAATGTTTACTTTCACTTTTTTGGGGGGTGGTTAGGCAATGGGGTTAAGTGACTTGCCCAGGGTCACAAAGCTAGTAGGTGTCAGGTGTCTGAGGCCGGATTTGAATTTGGGTTTTTCTGACTCCAGGATTGGTGTTCTATCCACTGTGCCATCTGGCTGCCCCTTACTTTCACTTTTTAAAGTAGTTCCAAATTCAAACTACTCAGGAAATGTATGATAGAAAACTTATTTTTTCTTAAAAGCTAAATTGTGATTCGACCATAGTTTTCTCATCTGTAAAATGTGGGCATGGGAGTATAAATCATAAATGTAGATAGAGCTGGATGAGACCTGAAAGACTGTAACAAAAATGTCCTTACAGATGAGTAAACTAGGGCTTGGCTTGCCCGAGGTCATATCTAGTCAATGTCTTTGTTGATCAGATTGAGTTAGATGATGTGAAATTTACAAAAAAGATCTATGATTTCCTTAAGGTTATTAGTTTTGTAATATTCTTTGGACACAAGTGAGAAGGGAATTTACAATTCTGAATTTAGTATGTTATTTATTAGACTGAATATCAGTCATTTGTGATCTGTATTCTAGGTACTTGGAAAGAGTTAAACCTCCAAAAGGTAACAAATGTGCTCTCTTAACTATCAAATCCAGTGTATATATTAGTCCAAGTGTAAACACAAAAGAAATAGTATAGCATCTTATGCATAGGTGGTACTAGCTAAATGTTGCTGACGTTGAACTCTGAAACCAAAAATGCCTGCCTTTTTGGGGGGAAAATGGTAAAATTCATTTATTAAAGCTCTTGTTACTGTTGGGCATCAGGAATAGAAATCTTTTGATGAAATTACTTTCTAATTAAGATGAAGAAAATTAGTCTTTTCTTTTGTTCCTAAGTGTTGATTTAAATTAGTTCCTTAGAGGTAGTCTTTTTTAAAGTCATTTTTCATAAAGACATATAAAAATGTATACGGGACGACCAAACTCCCCTTGAGATGCCTTGCCTCATGGTGTGGGGATGAACCCGGGCTCTTGAAGACTATGCCAGCAGAGCACAAGTTGGAAAGGCTTCAAGTAGAGGCCTGTTGGCCAAATATATGAGGGTTGTCTAACTAGTCTAGTTAAATTCAGAAAGACTGATAAAGTTTTGGTCACAGCAACTCTAAAAAACCACCTGCTAAGTCACAGGAATTATGACTTGCATTAGTGGAGAGAGTACTCAAACTGGGGAAGTTACAGTTTGTTGAAGTCTTGAAATATTTTATGTGTATAACAGTTTAACGTATTAAATAGTTAATGTGACACTTTAATTATTGCTTGAATATTGAATTTCCTATATGCATTTGGACACTGCTAAGAATTGTCTTAGTTACTAAATAATAAAATATTTGTTAAATGCTTATTCTCAGCTAAAGTACTGTATTAACTGTTGGGGATACAAATAGAAAAGACAGTCTCTGCTCTCAAGGAGGTTACAATCTAATAAGAGGAGACCACACACATACGGATGGTTCAGCTTCAAGTCAGGTGGAAAGAAGCTCCATGGTACTTGTGTAGCAGCAAAGCAGATGAGGAAAAATAGATTGAGTACAAAGCTTTAATCAAAGCTATGTTTTAGTGCTATTATATTTAAAATGTTAGTGTTGAATTTTGGAGGCATTTTTTTCCCTTTTTATATTTCTATTTTTCTTTACATGCTCCTTTATTTGACCTGGTACAACTTGATCTGTTGAAATTAGTTGAGTACTAAGTTGCCGTGGATACCTATTGAATGTTTTCTAAAGCTTAATTGCATACTTTTTCTTTACTGTTTGTTAGTAATGTTATACCCCAAAGTGAAAGTTTTAAGGCTACCAGAAACCCTCAACGGAACTTCTGGGTTCTTACTGCTTTTGAAAATACTGTCATCATTGCTGAATATAGAAAGGTAGACTACTTGTTTGTCACTAACTGAATTACCACGGGCAAGCCACTTATCGATCACTGTTTCCTGCCATGTAATAATGATACCTGCTTACACCTCTACCCAAATATATTGTTAAGGTTAATGTAACCTGAAAGAACAGACACTGAATGAAATAATTATGCTTACTATTACTGTTAACATAGCTGAAAGAATCTCAGTAGTACACTGTATTAAATGTCAAACTCAACATCTGTGGCCTTTTATGTAAGAGAAGATAGTAAAAAATGGTAGAAATTAAAACTTTCATTAAATAAAATCAAGTAATTTATAAATTTGCCAAAACATTTAATAAACACTAAGATGATTTCATTCTCATTATAGTGGCTTGACTTAGATTTAATTTGTTAGATTTTTATTCCTAAGGCTCCCTCTAGTGTCTGGCTTTGAAGTATTTATGTCTGTGTTTTATAACATTTTCAGGTTTATCTAATTAATAATTTACATTCCATTTTATACTACTTATTTAATTTTTAATAGTGGCAAAGTAAACAGGTATAAATGTTAATTGATTACAAGAAACTGTTGGTAATTTTTTGAGGGAGAGGGGATGATGTCGGTGAACTCTGTTCCATGTCTTAGACTATTGTTTTCAGCATTTTTATAGTATGCTGTTTTGCTATTCAGTTAAATAATTCATCAGGTTATAAAATGTCACATGTTGAATTCCATTTTAACTGATTTTCTTTTCTTTTACCACTCTGTATCAAGTACAGCACTCTGTAGGATGTAGTTTTATTTTATCCTTATCTGAGGAACCTGATATGTTACATGTCATTTAAAAATAGAGTTGCTTTCTAGTATATATATAAACTAAGAGCACTGTGATTCTCTTCCTAAGGTTATTTTAACTGATTTTTAAAGTACATAAAAATTTTACTGAAAATGTATGTATTATTTTACTTAGCAAATGCTTTATATTTGTTTTACCTATTAAATTGATTTTGGATGAAAGTATGTTAAAGAACATTTGCACGAGGTCTAAAATTCAGGGATGATTGAGATATAACACATAAAAATGCATTTAGACTCTTAATATTTACAAATAAGGAGGGCAATTATAGCAATGATTCTTGTTATCAAGGTTCTTTGTAGTTATTTGTCAGCTTTAAAAACTTAGATCTTGATTACAATTATCCTTTTGTAAAAATTCAAGCATACTATATTAGTGGTAGGCAGTAATGATGTTTCTGAAAAAAGTAACCTTTTTCAAACAAACTATTATACTTTAAGTGTAAAGATCACCTCAGTATTTCAGCACTATTAATAATTTTGCTTATCTTTTTGTTCCCTTTGATGTTTTAACCAGCCATACATACACACAAATATAAGTGCTCTCATCTGACAGTATGAAAACGGGAACTAACCCTAGAAGTATGAAAAAATGATACTTCAAAATCTTAAAGTGCTCATGTATATTTTTCCATACACAAATATGAAAGTTCTTTACACAGCCTCAACCTTAATGTTTCCATCAGTAAAATGTTCCTTTCCCTATCTATTCAACAGATAAAATTAAATGGTAGCAAATAACAGCCTTGCTAAATTGATTTTATACCTCTTGTGTATTTCAGGGTGTTGATGATGCCTTTTACACATTAGTTCGTGAAATTCGAAAACATAAAGAAAAGATGAGCAAAGATGGTAAAAAGAAGAAAAAGAAGTCAAAGACAAAGTGTATAATTATGTAAATAAAATTTGTACTTTTTCTCAAAGCATACTTAAGATAATTTTTTGTACATTATACTAAATTATTAGCATTTTCTTTTTAGCATTACCTAGTTTTCTTTCTGCTTCATGCAAACTCTTAGCTTTTATCTGAATGCTTATTTTAAAATGACAGTGGAAACTTTATTCCTCTAAGTGCCAGTATTCCCTTAGTGTTGGTTCTTGAATTAGCAATGCCTGTGAAAAAAAAATTGAATATCTGAGATTTTCCCTCTTGGGATTTTTGGTGCATGCACACTTGCTATAACTTTCCATTTATTTTCTTGCCAGTTATGAACTTAGGTGTTTTAACAAATCAATGAAGTACAATGTTACACAGTTTTTACATGATCTCTATACTGTGTTTTATTTTATCCTGATAATGGATTAGTTCTTAGGTATTTTAACTTCAACTGAAACTTAATTGATTGGCTTTATTAATTTTGAGGATATAAGAATCTCTTCTAGTCTTCCTATAGATTCAGCTTATAGACATCAAGTCCTGTAGTTTCAGATCATCTTTAATGAATGTAAAGTATATCATTTAGAATTTTTAAAAAATTTCCACTGTTACTATTTGTCATAGTCACTCCTTTAAAAATATATTTTTTCTATAAAAAATGAAATAAAATAAAAAATGTTTGAGGCAGTGGAAAATAGTTAAGGCCTTTTTATTTTCCTATTTTAAATTGATTCATTCAGACAGACTTTCAGTGGCCTTTACTTTTAAGGCAGACCTAGTATATGCTAGAGCAGAGGTGTCAAGCTTGCAGCCTTTGGGCTGCTTGCTCCTGAGTGGGCCTATACCTAGATTAAAATATAATTAGGAAATATAAAAATGCAACATGGATAATGTTAATTTGAGGGTTTTTTTAAAGTTAACAGCACCCACAGGGATCTATTTCTGTTTGAATTTGACACCACTATGTTCACTAGATCGACATATTTGAGGTTATATTCAGATACTATTTAATGATGGAAAAAGAAAAATATGAATTGCATACATAGGTCATAATCCTAATTTCTTATTGCTTTTTCTCAGAGTGGCTTTAGATCTTGCTTTGAACTTAATTTCTTATAAACAATTCACTCAGTTTTCCTATTGATTTGAATCATATGGAATACATTAGCTTTAGTTTAACTGTCAAAAATTAACTAGTAACTAAGATGCGTCTCATAGAGATTGAATGTAGTTTCCATTCTGGATAAAATTAAGTGTAACTTTTCTTAAATGTTACTTACTAAATTTAGGATCATGGAGCATTGTCTAGGGGCTATCAAGATATATGCAGTACCAAGGGAAAGAAGTGGCCATACTTAAAAGAATTGTGATGCATAAAGGGATTCAAATGTATTTTCTGTAGGGTTCTTGAATTTTTGATGAAGCAGGGCAATTAAAAAAAAACAACAACAAACTATAGGACTGATAAGTTATTCTTCATTACCTGAATTGTGAGTGGTTTGAGGAAGAGAAAAAGGTTTTGTAGCATTAAAGGGTGGGGTGGGGTGGGGTGGGAAGGGAAGGGAGGAATCCTAGAAGATAAGCATTTATCTAATTATAATAGCCTTAACATTCAACATCCAATACTGAAGTTGAGAAAATTGACTTAGTCTTAGAATCCCTATAACATGTTTGTGGAAGAATGTAGCAGATGTGGATAGTATGCTTTTGAGTCATTATATAAAAATTAGGAGTTCTAGGTTCTGTTTGAACTGAGTCACACTGCATAAGAATTTAGAACCTAACTTTTGTAGAGTATCAAAATCTTTGCCACTTTTGTGCAGTTTTTTTAAACATTTGTAGAAACTGGGGCATGTTCAGTTGCAGTTTGCACAACTTGATCTTATTTGTATACCCATGGATTTCTTTTAATGTTTTCTGAGACCATCTCAGATTTTGTTTTAATGGCAACAAAAATTTGCATCTTAAGTCATTTACTATATGATAATTCATTTATCAATTCTACTTGTCAGGAAGGAATAATACCTTGTGGTAGCTTTATGTAATCTTGATAATCACCTAAAAAAGCAACCAGCAATTAATGATTAAGTTGAAATTCTGGTTTTTAATTAACTATTAAGTTATAATCTTGGCTGTTAGGAATTTCATGTAGAGAAAATCAAATAGCAACTGTGACTAGTTCAGTACAGTAGGAGAAATAATTAGTTTCTTCAAGTAACATACTCAAATTAGTTCTGAGTTTTGTGTTAATTACATAGCTTGAGATCTCTGTGTCAGTCTAACAGCTCTAAGTGCCTACCTGGAATGATAGTGAACATACAGATGTACTTAGAGAAATAGAGGTGGCTGGCTGGAGAAATGTAAGACTTTTTGGGTAAAGTTTGCTACATAATACTACATGGGCTACATGATCTAAAAGTTCCTAATTCCACTGTCTTTTGTTACTATGTTGAAAATCGTTTTGCTCTTTTCCTTTTTTTGAGTGCCAACTTCTTAATAGAAACTATTTCTTATGTAACATGTTTACCTGGAATGTATTTTAACTATTTTTGTATAGTGTAAACTGAAACATGCACATTTTGTACATTGTGCTCTGTGTGTGTGTGTGTGTGTGTGTGTGTGTGTGTGTGTGTGTGTGTGTGTGTGTGTGTAGGGGAGAGGCATATGCAGTGTGATCCAGTTTTTCTCCATCATTTGGTTGTGCTGACCTAGGAATATTGGTTGTTATCAGACATAGAAATATAAAATGACCACTGTTTTAACTAAAATTAACTTTTAAATGTTCACAGGAGTATGTGCTGTGAAGTGATCTGAAATTGTCATATTTTTGTCATAAGCCGTACTGCTCCTAATTATTGTAATGTAATAAAGTTATTGTGACTCTACTACTCCATTTCCTGGGAATTGATTTCAAAAATCTAAATTCGTATTCTAATATTTGCTCTGCAACTGTCAAAGTATATGTTAATACACTCATGTTTTTAGAGGAAATTGGATTAAATAATTTCATCATAGACATTCATTAGTCACAAAAGAAACTGCTTCCATGTGTGCCTTAAATCACTTACATTAATCATATGCTATTGTATCCACTGTGTAACTTTAGGATTTATTAAAAGTTCATTGTTATTTTTTAGCAAAAGATGAAAACTCCATCTATTTTTCTTACGGAAAGTAGTATAGCATTTTGTCTTAAGTCAAATATGATTATAACAATTTACTTGAATCGAAAAGAATCCAGTAACAATAATAAAGCTATGAAATTTTTAGGCTGTGGTTCTCTTATTGATCAGTCCAAATGCCAAAAAAACCCAATCAGTTTATCACCTAAATGTTGTAATTATTAGCTGAAAGCTATCTTCCAGAACAAATATCTCAAAAAGTGTAGAGACATGCAAGTTATTTCAGAGTTAGGCTACCAAGTATGAGAATTTCACTTCAGCATGTATTAGCCAGTTTGATGGATAATGTTGTTCAGTAGTTTCTGACTCTTCATGACCTCATGTGAAGTTTTCTTGGCAAAGATACTGGAGTGGTTTGCCATTTCCTTCTCTACAGATTTTACAGATGAGGAAACCAAGGCAAACAGGATTAAGTGACTTGCCCAGGATCACACAGCCAGTAAATGTCTGAGGCCAGATTTGAACTCAGGTCTTTCTGACTGCAGACCCAGCACTCACTGATACCTATAAGCTGTTGCAAATGGTTTTCTGAACTATAAATTTATGCAGTGAGGCTACAGAAAATATGTTTGAATTCCAGGTGAATTTTCTTCAAGTGAACCATAGTACCTTGTTGCAATGTGCCAAATTTTGGCAAAAATTTTTTTTTAAAAACTGTTCACTCCTTCAAAAATCATAAAACAAATGAAATGTTGAGCTGGCTGAAATGAAACCTAAATCTTAATACCTTTGGTAAATTTATTTGCAATGCAAAACACCATCTTTTTTCTTTGTGGCAGAGTCAGCGAATACAAAACAAAAATGGACTAAGACATCATCTAAAACTACTCCATTTGTAAGTATTTATTTTAAAAGCCTAGTGAACATTTTCATTAAAAATTTTCAATGTTGATTGATGATAGGAGTTTAAAGTTCCTATTCAGTAAAGCAATGAATTTTTTGTTAAATCAGTGTCTTGACAGATGCTATAATTTAAAAAAAAAGGACACAAGTCTTGGCTGAGTAAGCTTTCAATATCAATTTATAGGTGTATCAACTGGAACCTATTAGAATAATTTTTAAAGTTGAAGGGAGTTCAGGTATTCTGGGCATTTTTGTGTATTAGAGTTATTCTGCAATATCTGATTTACATAAAAAGAAGTGCCACCAATTATTGCTCAGACAGCCTAAGCAGTAAACCTACATTTGCAACAATAAAAATTCACTTAGTTTTGTCATCTTCTAAATGGTAGCGTTGCTTCATAGCTCTGTATTTTCTAAGGAAGTACAAGGCTTCTAGCTCTTTTATTACAAATTCTCCTCGTGCAATAAGTTGTCTGATCTTCTCTGGGTCCTTCACATCTTTGTTTTTAAGGAAAGCTGCCTTCAAACGTCTTTTAAAGTAGTCTGCTCCCTTTGGATATTCTCTTCCGAAATACAGCAGCTTAAAAACAAACATGTTTTATATTCCTAAATAATTTGTACCATGTAACATTAAGATTATTGGAACTAGTAACAGATACTTACATTTTTATAAAGAGTCAAAACTTCTCCTCTTAATGGGTTAGCCATTTTCATTTGTCACTGAAAATATTCACTGTCTTCATATGTATAAATGCACATACCTGGAAAAATGGATATTTTATCAATACTTATTTTAAACTAATCAATAAATTATTAAATTCAGAGCAGCTCTCAGCAAAGGAAGATCTTATGCTAAATTATGGAAAATTAAACAGAAAACACCTGGATTTTCAATTCTTAATTTAACTTTGTATTTATTGGTAAATAACAAATTCATATGCATAGTAGGATTTAGAGATGGAAACATCTCTATATCTATATCTATAGGGCTTATCTATTTCAATTTCTTCATTTTACAAATGAGGAAACTTGAGGCCAAAAGAGAAAACAATTTTCTTCCAAAGTTGTATAGGTAGTAAGTGTACAGACTTAGAAAAAAACCATTTTTTGAGAAGCTATCTGAAAATGTTAAAATTTGACCCACATTCACTTTTTCAATTCAGATAAAGTTATCAAATCCTGTCTCCCATATATTAACATATTAACATATATAACCCTAATGAGTTTTATTCTAATACTTTTAGTTCAAAACTTGTTTGGAAGACTTTGGTTTTACTGCTACTTTTTTCTTATGTCTGCTTCCAAATCTGTAAATATGGGGGTTAGGTATTTAAGAATCTCAAGTCCCTTCCCATCCCTAAGTCCTGTGAACTTTAAATTCAGTCAATCAATATGCATTTATTAAGCATTTGCTACTGTGTGCAACTGCCTGGGAATACAACTATAAAAGAATGAAATAGTCCCTACAATTTAACCATTCTCACTGTGACTGGCTTTCTTTAATAAAAACAAAAACCTTTTGTGACTCTGAAAGCATAGAAATAGCTTTAAAGTGGGGAGTTCTTGAAATCCATGAACTTTAAAAAAAACTTTTTAAAATAATTGCATTTCAATATAATTGGTTTCTTTTATAATCCTGTGTATTATGCATTTAAAAATGTTCTGAAAAGGGGTCCATACCAAAGAAAAGAGGTTAAGGACCACTGCCCTCTTAACTTTAAAAATTCTCTTTAGTGTTAAAAACATTTCAGGCTTGAAATATAATTCTTTTTAATTGAATGTATATCTCTATGTGTTTATGTATATGTACGTGTGTGTGTATATATGTGTATGTATATATATATATATGTATTGGTATGTGTATGTATATATGTACATACACACACACACACATATACACGTATAGGTCTGGACCTTCAGTTTCATCAGTGTACAGAACACATCCTTTGTGGAGAATTGCTTTCCCAGGATTTAGTTAAATTGTCCTAGAGAGTTGCTGGGGCATTGGTGGTTAAATAGTCTGTGATCACAGAATGTAAGGTGAGAGACTTGAACCCAGGTTTTTCCTGTCTCCAAGGCCAGCCCCTCTATCCACTTTGCCTCTCAACTGCATTTTATTTTATTATTTTATTAATTTATTTTGATTGATCAACAATCACTTCCATAAGCTTTTGCGTCTTACATTTTTCTCCCACCCCCCCAAGATGGCATGCACATCTGATATAGGCTATACATATACATTCCTATTAAACATATTTTCACATTAGTGATATAGCAAATAAGAATTAGAACCAGTAGGAGGAACCACCAGAAAGAGGAAACAAAACACAACAGAATAAAAAAAATAGCAAATGGTATGCTTCGATCTGCATTCAAACTCCATAGTTCTTTCTTTGGATGTGGCTAGCATTTTCCATCAGGAGGTCTTTGGAGATGTCTTAGATCCTTGTATTGCTGAGAAGGGTTAAGTCTACCCATAATATTAGTCATTGCACAACATGGCTGTTACTGTGTACAACATTCTCCTGGTTCTGCTCACTTCACTCAGCATCAGACCGTACAAGTCTTTCCAGGTTTTTCTGAAGTCTGCTACTCATCATTTTCTTATAGCACAGTAGTATTCCATTACATTCATATACCACAACTTGTTCAGCCATTCCCCAATTGATGGGCATCCCCTCAATTTCCAATTATTTGCCACCACAAAAAGAGCTGCTATAAATATTTTTGTACATGTGGGTCCTTTTCCCATTTGTATGATCTCTTTGGGGTACAGCCCTAGAAGTGCTTCATTTGCATTTAAAAAAATATTCATAAAATAGAATACAGCCTAATTCATGTTAAACTTGTAATCAGTGTCAACACAGGGGCTGTGTTTAAAAAAACAACAACAAAAAACTATGATTTTAAGAACTTTTTAAAGGGAGTTTACCAAAAATCTATCATTCAGATTTTTGCTAGTTTAGGCTCCAATAATTAATGAGATTTTACTCTGACATAAATGTTACAATGTTCATAAAGAACACATAGAAGGTAGCATGCAAGGCTGATGAAAAATCCTGATTGTATGAACCTGAACTAGGCAGCTAGATGGCTAAGTGGATAGATCACTTGGCCTGGAGTCAGGGAAACCCCAATTCAAATATGGCCTCAGACACTTACTGGCTACGTGACCCTAGCTAAGTTACTTAACCTCTAATCCACTGGAGAAGGAAATGGCAAAATTCCAGTACCTTTGCCAAAGAAAACCTAATATGGAGTTATGAAGTAGTACTCTACTGAACATGACCCTGAGCATGTCTTAACGTCACTTAACCTTCAGTGCCCCCATGAAACTTTTTAAGAGCATATAAAATTACCTAAAAATTAGTTGCCAAAAAGTTTCCACACCAAAATTTCAGTACAATGAAATCATATGTAAATGCCCAACGATTTGGGTCAATTTTGTTTTTTACTAATGTTGAATGGCAGTGATAACAAAGAACACTCTCTTAAGAACTAAGATAAGCATCGCTCAAAGAGGGCAAAAGAAAGGAACACGGTGAGCAGGCTACAATTTATAATAATATTTCCAAAAAAGAAAAGGGGTAAAGAATGTCATTAAGGAACTGTATATTATGACAGGAACAAGATGGACTGATCATGTGGTAAGAGCTAGGGGTGAAGGGCAGACATAAGCCACAGTGCCTACTGGCCCTTTAAGTTGGAAGAAGGCAAAGATGGCCTCCAGCACATTGGATCCTCTCTGTGGTGAACTTTTGGGGAGATGTGGATGAGAGCTGCACAGAATCAGCAGGCCTGGATGGTTTGTGATCTGCATTGTTGGAAAGAACTCCAGAATCCATGTGATCACAGATCCGAACAAAAAATTTTATAGTTTGTTTTAATAACTGAACTGTCCTCCATGTTAGATATAAGGTCTCAGGCTGTAAAGGACCTCAAAGGCCATCTTGTTCAATGTCCTCATTTTACAGATGAGGGAACTGAGGCCCAGGAAAATTAAGTGACATGCTTTTAAGTATTTAATGTCAGAATTAAGATTTAAACCCAGTTCTGACTTCTGGCATTGGTTCTGCTGTACTATGCTGCTTCTTCAGATATTTCACTACTGAAAAAAAGCTTTGCCCCTTATTAAAAAACTTTCAGTTCTATGTAGATCTCTTCACAAAACACTCCTTTCCAACCTATCAGTTGCTACTTCTTTGGCATCTGTTCCCTTCTTTCCACTCACTCTAATCACCTCTTCTTGCCTGCACTCTTTATAATATCCTTCTAATGTCTCTCTGCTTCCAAAGAATACCCTATAAAATCATCTTACTAAGGCTTAGTTCTATCATGTCACAACTGTTAAAAAACTTACAGTGGCTCCCTGTTCATTCTTGGATAAAAGTAAAAGCACTGCAGCATTATGTTTAGTGTGCCCCACAATCTGGCTCCAACTCACCATTCTAGACATTACTTCCCTCTTTCTTCCAGCTAAACCAGATTCAATTTGGAGTTTCATCTTCTGCTTGACAGGAATACATTGTATAGAAATCCTTTAATACTACTACTAACATATAGTACCTATATGTGCCAAGTACTGTGCTAAGTACTTTATAGATATTATCTCATTTGATCCTCAAAGCGAAGTAGATGCTACTATTAGCACTTAAATTTACAGAAAAGGAAATAGTCACAGGTTAAGCAACTTGCCTGGGGCTACACAGCTGCACACCTAAGGTGGGATTTGAACTCAGGCCTCGACTGTAGGCCTAGTGCTCAATTCACGGTGCCACTTAGCTGCCTTCCAAGACCACTCAGGTACCGCCTTCCTGGTGAAACTTTCAGTATTAATGCCTCAAATCACCTTCTACTTTACCTATTTGTATATACTTCAATTTCCCCACTACTTAGATGTTTAAGTTCTTTTAGAGCAAGGCCTACTTTCTTCTTGTCTGTGTCCCCAGCACCCAATACATGCACCTTTTTATTTACTGAATTAAATTGAATCATCATATTGGTTTAATCAATGAAGCCTGTTTAATGGATTAAGAATAAGGGAGGCTTTCCTTTTGGGTTAAACACAGGAGGATGCAAAGACAGATTTTTGGAACTTCTACAGATGGTGAATTCAAGTCACCATGTAATACCAACAATTTTTCTGTACCTCACTTTTGTCGTCAACAAAACTGGGAGGTCAGACTACATTATTTCTAATGCCAATATCAGTCCTAAAAAAATCTAGGTGCTGAGGTTCTTTATTTGCTGTTTTGACAAATAGGGGCATATGGTGGAAGTAAATTCCAGTCTTCCAAACCACCTCTGTTACTTCAATAATGGAATTTAACAAGCCCAATTGTCTTTTTCTTTTCTCATTTGTTATATTCACATTATTTTAAACTATAAGTTGGTGCCACGATGTCTTCAATATCTTCAAAGGAATAATATCCCTTTGCTTTTTCTTAAAAGTAAAGCAACTTTACAGAAAAGTAATTTTTCCCCCAAATGCTAATACTGTGTAATATTCCTCATTCAACATTGTATAATCTGAATCCTTTAAGATGTTTGATCTGAGATAGCATTTTTTTTTTCTGTCACAATTCTTAATACAGCAGAAAAGGATACTTTCTCTGGGATCAACTTTTAAACAATTTTCTATCTGCCCACATGCATGTAGCACGAAAAACTGCAAAAGAGGTAGCTCAGGGTAATAGTTCCACATGGGAATCTACATTCACGGGATTCTGAGCTGGAAGGGACTTTAATTCTAGTCTTGGGATTCTTAACCTTTTGTGTGTGTGTGTGTGTGTGTGTGTGTGTGTGTGTGTGTGTGTGTGTGTGTGTGTGTGTGTGTGTGATGAGTCTAGTGATTGGATCTCTTCTGAGTCAACTAGCTTTTGTTACTTAGCATGGTGAGGGCCACCATGCTAAATGTCAGAATGCATTTTTTTTTTCAGAATGCATTTTAAATGTATTCAATAAAATGGATACAAAAAACATCAGTTATACCGAAATACGGTTATCAATTTTTTTTTAGAGTTTACGGGTCCCAGGCAAAGAATCTTTGATCTACTCCAACCCGTCATTTTACAGTGACAGAGGCCTAGGGAAGCCAAAGTGACTTGCTAGGAAATAGACCTGGGATTCGAACTCAGGTCTTTTGGTCTCAAACCCAGGGTCTCCTAACCCCAGCTCTCACGTGGGGATCAAGCCCCCAAGTCTCCCCTTTTGCAGTAACTGTCAGCAGGGAGGGAGGAGCTAGGTCTACCACAGGTTTACACGGTGGGGTCTAACCCGGGGAGCGCCTCCACCCTCAGGCCCGATCCAATCAACGCGGGAGAAGGCGCCAGGCCGGGAGACGCCCCCCTTCCGACCCTCCCCCACGCCTGGCCCCAAGGTGGGTCACGTCAGCTGCGCAGGGCCCCGCTGGAGAAAACGGCGGATGGTGCGAGACCAGCCGCCCTGGGGCAGAAGGAAGAAGAAAGGAGCCTCCCGCCCCCTCCATCGGCGCCCTCCAACGCGTCCCCCTCCCTAGACACCGACAAGCCGATAGCCCCAAACACTTCACCTTCTGCCGCAAACCAAGACGCTTTCCGGCAGCACCGCCCGCCGTGGCGTAAAACTCAAGTAGTCTGGTCGGGCTCCCCTCCCCTGAGAGAGAATGGGAAGGTCAGAGAGAGAGTGGGGGCGGGGCCGCGAGGCTGTGGGAGTCAGGAGAGTGAGGGTGCGAAAAGCGGCTGCGCAGAGGCAGAGGCTCCGGCAAAGCCCGGGCAAGTCCGCAGGCACGCGCTCCGGTTTCGAGGAGTGGGGTAAACCGAACTTGCACCGCCAGGTGGGAAAGGGCGGGACACAGAATCTTTCATTGCGGCTGCGCAGGAAGTGGCGCCCCTGCTAGGAGGCCGGTAGTCTTGGCAACGGAGAAGGCCATTTGTCAACAGTGTAGGAGCTCCTGCGGGTGTGCTAGGACAGCGGTGATAAGCGCAGTTTCATGGTAAGCCCTGGAGACTCCCAAGAAAGAGCAGCCTTGGGGAGGTGGGGAGGGTGAGAAGCTTTGTCTCCTTACTGGGGTCCAAGTGAATTGGGTGCATTAGAACTAGAGTTAGCTAGATGATGAATCAGTGGACTTTATATGTACGATACAGACTCTCCCAAAAACCTTAGTGCGGTTTTAAGCTATTAAGAAAAATAATTTTTTTAAAATGCACTAAGACTTTTGGGACGCTGCGTACAGAGAGATGGATGGAGGATGCATGAGCGGCTCAGGAGATGTGAGCAAGCAGGTGGCGTAGCTTCGGCGTTCCCTCTATCCTTCCCACTGCAGAGTTAGGAACTCAGAATTTTTCAGCAGTAAGTTGACGGGCCAGGTAAAATGTTTTCCAAAGGAATAAGCAAATGAGTGACTGTTCATGGGAAACTTGCGATGTTACAATTTGCTTTAAAATCAAACAAAACAAAATGGACTTGAGCTGGCAACTGTTGGCGATTGAGAATAAACTTTTCCATTAAATGCCTTTGAGATGGAAACCATGCATGCTTTGTGGCGTTTCCACAAATAATTGAAATTGATAAATAGGTGAAGTGTTTCGCAAACCTTAAAGCCGTATATAAATGCTAGCTATTGTTCCTTCATATGAGTAAATGAATCATATTCTGAGTTCTTGGAATGAGCTTACTTGTGTTGCATCTCAGTTTCTGGAGGAACATGTGTGCCTCTGTGTGTGTGTGTGTATATGTATACTTACTGACTTTATACTCTTTTATTTTTCCCCACTTCTAGGCTCCCAAATCAAAAAAGGTAGGTTCAAATGAATTATATTCTGAGTTCTTGGAAGAAGATGGGCTGTTAGAGTACTCTGAGTGTGCACCTGCTTGTTGTACATCTCAGTTTCTGGGGGAACCTGTGTGCCTCTGTGTGTGTGTGTGTACTTGCTGACTTTATAATCTTTTATTTTTCCCCACTTCTAGGCTCCCAAATCAAAAAAGGTAGGTTCAAATGATTAATTTCTCAAATTAGATAGCTGAGTGCATAAAGACAAAATTTTCTTATCATAGTTCATTTATTATTCATCTTTACTTTTGCTAACATCTTAGCAGTTGAACTTTTAAAGTTCTTTACAACTTATGTAATAAAAACTTAAGACCATTAACAGTATGTAAGCATTGGAAAGGCAAGATAGATCTTTAAAACCATCCTTAAAAAAGTAAACTTAAAGGCTGCTAAAATTGACAGTTGAAACTTGTGTTATTTCTGTTCTAAATTATTTTCATTCCATCATATGATGCCTGACATTTTCATACTCAGATTTTAAATGGGTCACTGTAAGCAATATATTCCTGATTTGATATATTGTAAACTATATGTTGTTCTGTAGTATAGAATTGTAGTTGTGTATGTCTCTGTTTCTGAGGTAGTTGGGGTTTTTTTAGTTTCTTTTTTAAAAATTATTTATTTTTAGTTTTCAGCATTCACTTCTATAAGATTTTGAGTTCCAAATTTTCTCCCCCTTGTCTCCCCTCCCCACATCCCAAGACAGCATGTAAATTGATATAGGCTCAACATATACATTTGTGTTAAACCTATATTCATATTAGTCATGTTGTAAAGAAGAATTAGAACCAATGGGAGAAACTACAAGAAAGAAGAAACAAAAAAAGAGAGAGCAAATAATATGCTACGATCTGCATACACACATATACACACATGTATATATGTATGTATGTATATATACACATATATGCACATATACATATATGTATGTGTGTATAAATGTTCCCTCAAATACTCTTAACTTCCCAGTTCCTCAATCAAACTTCCCTCCTCTACTTCACTTCAATAACACACAATATACCCTGAATTTTGCCACCACTCACAAATATTTTTTAAAATAATTACTTTAACATTCATTTAAAAATTTTTATTTTTAATTCTCTCCCTTTAGCCCCTCCCCCATCCATTGAGAAGATAAGCTATATGATATCAATCATATATATACATTCATACAAAATATACTTGCATATATTAGCCATGTTGCAAAAAAAAAAGCCAAGAAAAATAAAGCAAAAAAAATGCTTCAGTCTGTACTCAGAGTTCATCAGTTCTCTCTCTCGCTGAATATAGATATTTTTCTTCATGAGTCCTTTGGAATTGTCTTGGATCATTGTATTGATTAGAGTAGCTGTCTTTCAAAGTTGAACATCATTGCAATATTGCTGTTCTGATGTACAATGTCCTTTCTGGGGCCCAGATCCCAACCCCATCACCTTCCTTCTGTTAATTATATTCTATTTATTCTCTATATAGCTTGTTTTGTCTATGTTTGTATGTTGTCACCTCCCTTAGATTGTAAGCTCCCTGTGGGCAGGGACTCTTCTTTTTATATCCCCGACATTTAGAACAATGCCTGGCACATAGGAGATGCTTAATAAATGTTTACTGATACTGATGTTGGAGTTTTTAGCTACATGTATTCCCTACATATGTGCCTCACTACTCATGGACATAATATATATTAGTGAGAGAATGTTCCCTGGATTGCAGGGGTGGGGAATCTGCAGCCTCGAGGCCACATGTGGCCCTCTAGGTCCTCAAGTGCAAGTGCCCTCGAGGCCACAGGCTTACAAACTCTGGTGGGGGAAGAATTTTGTAACCACTCTTTTTGCTTTGCCATTTGAGTAAATGATTTTACTGAGAGCTAAATAAATCTGAATTACTCTGGAGATAACCTACTTCTTGACCAAACTTCACAATATTTGATGTGACTTTCTCTCATGATACCTGTCATGTACACTTGGCCAGGAGTAGACATACTCCTTGCTCCCCTTGGCCACTCTTTACCGTCATCACTTCTTCTTTGAGATTCACTCCATCCAGCCTATTCAGAACTTTATTGTAGTTATTTGCTGGGCTCTAGAACACTTTTCTTTTCTATAGTTCCAGTACTTGACTCGCAATATTCTTTCTGCCCTAACCCTTGACCTTATATTTGAGGAAATCAATATACACATTGATATCTCCTGACACGACTTGGATTCCAAATTAATCAACTTCATCAACCCCTTTGATAAATATATTTTTACTCCCTTTGAGCCATTTATCCCTATAAGGGTCATCCCTTGAGTTCATCATCCATAACACTTAAGGTCCAAAGCTCTGAAATTCTTCTCACTGATCATGACCTCCTGGCCTCCCCTCTGTCCTTCTGCCTCAAACTTATTTTTAATTTTTATTGATGTCTTGTTTTTATATGACCTTATTTCCAAATGGATTCCACTCTTCTTCCCTACCCAGCAAGAGATTCTATATAATAAAGAATAAAAAATAAAGAGGAAAAAAGAGTTCAGCAAAACTAATTGACACGTCATTTTAATCCAGCATTATTTGCAACACTCCACATTGATAGTTCCTCACCTGTACAAAGAGGAATGGGAGATACATTTTCTCATCTCAGGTACTAAGCTTAATCATTAAAATTTAACAGCATCAAGTTTTTATTTTTGTTGTTATCCTTTCTATTTATGTTGTATATGTTTGCTTTTCTGGTTCTGGTTCTGCTTACTTCATGATATTTTTCCATGGTTCTCTGAATTCTTCACACCATAATTGTTTTATAGCTCAGTAATATTCTATTACATTCACATACCACAGTTTGTAGAGCCTTTCCCCAATCAATAGGCATAGACTTTGTTTTTAGTTCTTTATTACTACAAAAAGTGAAGTTCTGTATATTTTGGTGTTGTCCACTTTTTGAAGGTCACCACGATACTACCTTCCAGGAACTCATGCTTCAAGGGACAACCATTTGATTATGTGCCTCCCTCAATGATTAGAATAACATCCCCTTTTATTTTCCCTATAGAAGTGGTTCCTGCTCCGTTCACCTACCCGAGGTGTCTGCTCCCTTATTCCTGTTTGCTTCAACCCTAATCCTCAAGTGTCTCCCTCTGAATCTCTCTAACCCTTCCACTGTTCCCTTCCTGAATAACATACCTCCTTTTGTCTTAATTATTTTCCTTTCTCACTTCTTCCGTCTTCTGACACTGAGATTGGCTCCCTCATAATAGCACCGATTCCCTGGTCCTTTTTCCAGCACCAGCTATCCTTTCTCTCATACTTCCTGAATTACTTACTGCTTGTGGTGGAAGTCAGAATACTTGTTCCCCATTGACAATTCCAGACTTTGTCTGTAACAATGTCATTCTGCAGATTGTCCTCTTTTGTCAACTTTTCAAATTCTGGTGGCTGTAATCTCCCAACCCCTAGGGCATTCTTCCTCCTTTCTTAATAAGTTTAGTGTCTGGCTAACTCTCTTTTTCTTCAATTTCTGCCCTCATACTGGGGGTAAATACACATATATACACACATATACATATATATATATACACATATATGTATTATGTGTGTGTTTAAATCTTCCCTCAAATACTCTTAACTTCACAGTTCCTCAATCTATTCAATTCCCTTGACTTCCCTCCTCCACTTCAGTAACACACAGTATACCCTGAATTTTGCCCCATTCACAAATATTTTTTAAAATAATTACACTTTAACATTCATTTAAAAATTTTTATTTTTAGGGGCAGCTAGGTGGTGCAGTGGATAGAGCACTGGCCCTGAAGTCAGGAGGACCTGAGTTCAAATCCGGCCTCAGAGCAAACACTTGACACGTACTAGCTGTGTGACCCTGGGCAAGTCACTTAACCCCAGTTGCCAAAAAAATAAATAAATGTTTATTTTTAATTCTTTCCCTCCCTTAAGCCCTTCCCCCATCCATTGAAAAGACAAGCTATATTATATCTATTTTTATATATATGTGTGTGTATATAT